AAATTAAATGGAAAAGCACAATCTGAGTGTACACATTTGCATTCCATGCAATATATATAACAAAGCATAAAATGTATATACATGTTTTACTAATGTTTTATTTAATGTAATGTTTTATTTTAGAACCAGTTTTATCGACATTGATCAAGCTCAGTCATCGCTGCAACATCCTTTTAAACTACAAAATTCAACTGAAATTATAATTCAAAGAACAAATAACTTGAAAAGTAACTTTAATTTGAAGATGAACGATAATATCAACATCAGAAAATTTTTAGAATAGAATAATTTTTTTTTATATTCGGATTGAAATATATACGCATATCCTGCAAAATCACGCATCCTCTCTCGTGCCTACTGACTACGTGACTGTCATTAAAATAACCTAAAAATCTGTTCATCTATTGAGTCATGAAGAGAAAAGTTTTCCAAAATCTACATTAAGTCGATGTTCCGATGAACCAAATCGTGTTCAGTTATTAAGAATCCTCATAATTGCTGATGAAAATAATGAATTATACCATTTCTACATCACGATGCAACAACGCGCTGTATGGCCCGTATCAAGTCGATAGAACGCGGCCATGTTAAACGTCATCGTTACCGTCGCCGAAAAACCATTGTAGGTACGGCTTCTCGAGAAACATAAGGCAGCATTGGACGAAAATGCTAGAATTTCGGAACTCCAATTTCGATGCCATGGACACGTGGCAATAACTCTGTCTCCAACAACGCGAAGCATGATTCACCATCGTAGAATTCCTGCAAGTTTCCTTCATGCTCGCATGTGTAGACATCAAGAGAATGAATTCATCGTCAAAAGATATTATACAAATTTAAAGATTTTTTTATCGTTAAAAAACAACGGATTTCTTATGCGAAAACTGGCTGCTGCTACCGCCACTACACGCCACACCCTTTTCGACGCGTTCGGCATAGAATCGATTCTCAAACAGCGAGCGAACGCAACTAATGACGCCCGATGTGCCAAAGACATTTTCGTCGCTCGGTCATCCAACGATGACGGACGAGTGTGACAAGGACATTCGCGTGCATTCCGTACGACTGTATTGTCGCGTATTTTCGAGAAAAACGGAAACGTGAAACATGTCCGCCGCCTCCAAGCAGCTTATCATAGTTCCACGATATTATGATAATATTCGCTGACGGTGATACAAGAGGTCTCATAGAAACAGAAGTGAGCGAGCAAGGAAGCAAGCAACGAACCGATCGACCGATTAACTGACCGACCGTTTGGGGCCGGCCGGCCGGCCGAGGCCGGCCGGCAGTCGTGCACATATATACGTGGCAATGTGGCATTACATTTCGGGGTTAGAAATGATCGTCGACGCATGCCGCGCGGCGGGTGCATTGCGGCGCTCCACAGGCTGGCTCACTTGTTTGAACCGGTTCGTTTCGTGCTCGAGCCGAATGAGCTCGAACGAAAATCGCGCGGATAATCTCATCGGAGCATCTGTCCTCTCTCTTTCTTGCTCTTTCGCTTCTTCTCGCTCATTTACACTGTCTCGCACTTTTCTCCCTCGCCTCGCGCCGACAAAGCGTGCTTCATGCTTTATCGGAGGGCTCTTTATTCCGCGCACTTTCCCTTTTATCGAGGGGGCGTGCTATCAAATCTATTTGTCTATCCCTTGTTCTCATTTCACGACTATCACTCACTCGTTTCCCTCTTTTCCTCTCTCCCCCTTTTTCACACCTCACTCATTCTCTCTCTCTCTCTCTCTCTCTCTCTCACGCGCTCACACGCACACACTCATACACGTTCTCTCTCTCTCTCTCTCACACACGCACGCTCTTTCTCTCTCTCTCTCTCTCTCTTTTTCTCTCTCCCGTTTCTTGGTACATTCTTTTGGAGCTACTACTCACTTCGAAGCCTTCAGATTTCGCCCACACATTGCCATCGTGTCCAGCGATCGCCGCTTTGGTAACACATCTAGACGCGAGCAGCTGCTTATCAACGTAATCCTGCCAGCTCATTTTTGAACACAAGGAGGAAAGGAAAAGATGATCAAAACCGTTCACTATGATACACTGGACGACCACAACCCGTCACTGACTGCCTCGTCTCGCAACTACCGATACGCGCTCTCCGAACTCGGAAACGCCGGTCGTTCCGCCAATCCCCCCTTTACAACACACTACTTCTTTGCCCCTCCCAATGTCTATTGCCGTCATTGCCAAGTCGTCCTTCACAGTAACATTGCTCCCTCTACCTGATATTTCCATAATCAGAGCACAAAATTCTAGAGACATTTAAATGAATAGGTTTCTTCACGTCGCTTGAAATCCCCCAAAATTTTTGAACTTAAAATGAGATAGATATATTTTTGAGCGTTGAAAAGAGAGAAAGCAAAAATATTGAACGCACAAAGTGTAAGCAACGCGACAGATCTAATATCTAATTGATAATTTTCCAATGGCAATATTCCTAAACATTTTTGATCATATGACAATATAATAATAAGTACTTAGATCTGTTCACATTGTTTGAAATTCCCAAAAATATTTGAAACGATAATTGCATTCGGAAACATCATCCGGATGACCCGTATATCATCTTAAGGTGCGATTTCATGCGACACTAATAGCATTTTAGATTTTGCACCAACTTAGGTTAGAAAATGCTTCGCTATTGGTTGACGTTACACACTCTACCAATAGGAGAGCACAAAACATCATTACTTCAATCAGGATTAGTGCAAATTCGGTCGGGCCGAAAACACTTGACACTTGTTCGTGTTTACTCTATGTGATGTAATTTTATCTATGGTTGACGCTAAAAAGTTCGTTTCTATCCAACTTTTCAGTTGGCGGTCTAATTTTGGTAATATAAAATTTATTTTATGTATTTTTAATTGGAAAATTTTATTTATTAAAGTTGCAAAGAGAAAAAAGAAAATAAATTAATTAATAAATATAAAATAATACTTAGAATATTTGTCTAATATAATACGACAATATATTATGTGAAATTTCTGTTTGAATTCAATTTACATTTTGTCATCCATGCATGAGATTTATAATTAAACATATTGAACTTTAAATTCCAAAATAAATAACACAAAGCGATATACACGGCAGAAATCTATTATCTCCTCGCAGATTACAAAGATTAGGCTAGGTTTTGACTATTATTTTGACGCTGATTTTCAACGTCAAAATAAGTCACGATAGAAACTGAAAATGATCATCGAATGTCAGCATGTCAAGGCATCTTTAAGTTCGATATTTCTGCTAGGCATTTCAACGTCGCATAAAAGGGAACCTTCATAGCCCTTGAATCTTATGAACAGTCCATAGACAGAAAGAGCAGAGATTTAGAGTCCTATATATAAAGAGACCCGACATTAATGTCTGAATTCCTGATTGAAAGTCTGATATGTATTCTGATTGGATATCTCCTTCTACTGACTCCGGCACACTAGCGCGATGTTAGTTACGCGCGACACACGATATCTAAGATAGTATACTTTAGAATGAGAATATCGGTAAAGTTGTATACTCATGCGCTGGTGTGCCGGAAGCATAATAGCCGCGTGGTAAAATAAGACGCGGTAACCAAATTAGCTGTAATCTTGGCTACCGCATCACATTTTGCCGCGCGGTAAACATTTTCGCGTGTGTGCAGGAGCCATAAGGCTACACATTCCAAAACTTCCTCTCCAAAGAAAACTTTACTCGAAATATATAATAATGTATACTATCACATATAGAGTAAAATTTCTTCGGAGAGGAAGTTTTGAAACGTAGCCTAAGTGAAGCAGCTATATTAGGTTTGTTCGCGCATGCTCCAATATGCTCCAATATGCTTCATCATAGCTCCTACTCACTCCAATGCACTCATTAGAGTGAGTAGGAACTATAGCAGGAGCATATTGGAGCATGCGACGCGACAAATCTATTGTCACCGCAGCTGATTACACAGGTTGTGTAACACAGCTGATACACGTAATCTTAACTGCTAACGGAATACAGGATAGCGGTCATGTACCTTTTTCACTAGAGTAGAAATGTGAAAAATAAAAATTTTTATGTATGTATGTTTGTATATATACACACATCCGTACAAAGAATTTTCACTTTTCACGTTCCCTAAGAAAAAAGTTACATGATCGTTATTTTGAGCTTACTCCGTTAACGGAATCGATGGAGTACATTCTTCTTTTTCAATTTTGACTCCTTTAGAAAATCAGAGCGATTAATAGCGCTACAATGAAGTAGAGGAGTGTTAGAGGTTGGAGCAAGATTGGAGTATGTTATATTTATTTTTTATGACACTGGAACGGTTCAAATCCAAATGCGCCCGCGGCGGCGCAGAAATGATGATAGAAATCTGATTTGATGATGGAGATTCGATATCTCTTTTTATATAGGACTCTAAAGATTTGTTTACGTCGCATGCTCCAGCTTGTTCCAATATACTCCTGCTATAATTCATACTCACTTCAATGAGCGCGTTAGAGTGAATAAATGCTATGGTAGGAGCATTTTAGAGCATGTTAGAGCATGACGCGAACAAACCTTAATTTAGAGAGAGAGACTGTCCAACTACATGGTCTGTTCGATTTACTTACACTTTTATGGGGTAAAAAGAAGTAGACCAAAAGATTTGTTTGCATATTACACATGTTTCAGCATGTTCCTATAGCTCTTACTCACACTACGAGCGCGTTTGAATGAACTATGATTGGAGAAAGTAAGAATATGTAAGCATGCGACGTGAACTCTAAATTCGAGGATAAAAAACACAGAATCGAAAAACCCATGGAAAATCGAGATGATGCGATTTTAGTGTCGTTGCAGGAAAATTGAAAGTATATATCACATGATAACGTGTACGGAATACACGTATGCACGTGTATTTGTTTTTAATATAGAAATTTCAATTTATATAAAATTTACTTTTATTTTATTAAATAATAAATGCATTAATATTTATTGAAAAATACATACATTTATACATAAATTATCATTAAATTATTGTTTTTTTTTAACTTACCAATATCAAAAAACTTTGAAATTAAAAAGTATAAAAACAGGATTGCAATGACAATTTTCCTTCTCAGAATATATTTTACGCATGAAAATACACAAATTTACAGAATTGCAGGAAAATGGAAGGAAAAATATTTATCAAATTTTCTAAGTTGACAGTTTTCTCCGACAAAAACGTTCAAATTTGTTCTTCTATATAGCGTTTTTCGACATCGTGTTTTGAGCGTTTTTTCAAGACCGATCGCTTGAGTTTGATCTCCTTTTTACTCCGTGTTACACTTTTTATACCTAAAATGAAATAGATAATATTTGGCTCTGAGAAAAGAGAAAGCGAAAATGCTGAGTGTAAAAAGTGTAAAGCCAGCAGCACATGATGCTTATTTTCCTGCTGAATTGTTAATGCTCTATCAACGTAGACTAACTTTAATCTCGGTTCAACTTATTTTTTATCTCTTTTTAATCTTTAGAATTAGAAAAAGATAAAGAATAAGTTGAACCATAATTAAAGTTAAGTGGGCACAGATTCTTGCATAACGCATAACGCATAACGCGTAACGCATAAGAAAATGTATTAATCAAAGTCATTTTTCATTGATTAAAAGTGATTTTTCTCCTTTCCATGAAATAAAGAATTCTGATTGGTTGGATTTCTTATGCCTCTGTGTTACGCATTATGCAAAAGTCCGCAAAATGCTCCCATTTTAAGCGGGGAGTCAACTATGGAAATTGTGCTGTTTCTGGCTGGTACCTCACATCCAGCATGGCGGTCTTCTGGTGTCTTATGTCTTGAACTCTTACTATTTTACTAGAGTTTTCTTTTAAGAAAACACGCCTTGCATATGAGTCTGCTACATTCATGTATAAGGGGCTCCGCACAATAAAGGGAATAGAGAACAGAGAATAAAGCTGGAAATACAATAAAAAGCACAGGCAATAGAAACAGGGAATAAGAGATTTCAACTTATCAGAAACTATGAATAATGGAATGGACGCTTTCTGATAGGTTGAAATCTTTTATTCCCTGTTCCTATTGCCTGTGCTTTTCATTGTGTTTCCAGCTTAAGAATTTCAACCTATCAGAAATCATGTACACAGATTGAAATTCTTATTCTCTATTCTCTGTTCCCTGTTCCTCTAACAATCTATTTTTAGTATATAAAGGCCACTTTCATCAAGCTCCGATTAACTTAAACGAGTCTAGTAACTTTGCAGGATTTTAACTAAAGCTGATGTCGGAGAAAAAAAATGCAAAGAGAGAATTATAAATATAGATTTGTAATACTAACTTATGTAGCAAGGTTTCTCTCTGATAACTTTGTTAATAACCTTTTTCAATATAGTATATAAAATTACAGTTAATTATAATTAGTAAAATATGTTTAACTCTTCATATTTTTTCTCTGACATCAGTTGGAATTCTTCAAAGTTACTAGGCCTGTTAAGTTAATCGGAATTTGATGAAAGTAGCTCTGACTTCAATAGTTTAAAATTTTCATTTTTTATTTTCCTTTCTAGAGATAAAGTTTCATACCCTGCAGAGAAAAACAAGCATCGTGTGCCGCAGGCTTAAGCAAGTCGAACTGATCTCATCTATCATATTATCCTTTCTATTATGGTGAAACTGATAAAATTCTGTTTCTATGATCCTCTAGCTGAAGAAACAGGTTATGATAGTTGAATAAAGATTTTTAAAGTATTTTTTTATGTAGTTACATAAAAGCTAGAATGCAGGTTTCCGCACCAAATAATATAAAAATCTATAATCTCAGCTCTGGAAAATCCCTTCCTGAGGTAAAATTTTGTTTATACTATATGTAAGATCGTTTTAGGTTAAGTATAACATCTCAACATGTATTTTTATTCTGTACAGTGGTTATCTGAACGAAAACGAAGAAGTTTATCGAAGAATGTCGGTAAGAATTAGATCAATAAACATGCAAATAAATATAAATATTTAGTTTAAATTTTTATTTAGATTTTAGCGAATTGTACTTATTTCCTTTTTATACCTAAAACAAGATTTGAAAAATAAAAATCGTCAATTGGTGAATTAAAATAAATACATGAATACTTAAAAAATATTTATTTTTGTAATGTTATGTAATATAATTCATTTGTATC